GGGGGGGGGAGTAACTATGTCAGGGGATGAATGTGTTAACTAGGTTGAGTGTGATCATCTCACTATATATGCATATCAAAGCATCACAGTGTACATCGTAAATACATAATGTTTTTGCTAGAGGGCATGTGCACTCACTCTGGTGGGGGGGGGTGGGAGGAGAAAGCATCTCCCGCCTGCCACCCCAGGAAAGGTCAATCTATTCTTCTCCATCTCTCTCTCCTTTCGGGATTTTGGGTATGTATGCACATGTGCCTGGCATGTTTCTCAAGCAGCCAGGTCCAGGACTCGAAACATGCAGTCAGCCATATGGGATCCAGCTGTCTTAACCCTTAGGCTATGGAATTGGCCCGATAAATACACCATTTTTAATTGTCAATTATACCTCAATAAAGCTGGAAAAAATTAGAAATTCACATGCTGGTATATACACAGAATATCTGGAAGACTACACAAAAATTGAGTAACACTAGTTCACAGAGCAAAGGGGAACTGGCAGGCTAAAGAAGATAATTTCCTCTCGTAATTTGCCTGTTTCTTCTAAATGTTCTGCCATGTGTATCTAGTAACTGTTCAAAACAATAAATAAACAGAATCCCTGGCCCCAAAACAAATTGTAGCTTAAAATACAAATGAACTGCAGCTGATCTAGCAACCCAGGAGAAGAGCAAAAATTTCATTAGGTGGTATTACTTTCAGTGAATACTCTTCTATGACTCTGGATGCAAGAAAACTACAGAGATATTCTAAAAAGAAGGGGAGAGGGTTAGTTGTTCTGTATGTAACAAAACCAGAGGAATATTCTTTTTTGTTTCTGAGGGCCACTGTGGATAGAAAATAGTGATACGGGAAGGAAAAAAAGAGCTGGGAGAGAGAGATGCCTGGTAACATGCAGGAGGCATGATCCTCATGGGGGGCATCACTGGGGAGAAATTCTCTGTGGCAAAGAATACCCAAAAGATCTCCAGGGACAGCCTACTGCTAAGTGCTACAATTACGATCACCACCCCTCACTACACCTTGAACTTGATGTACAAGTCTATAAAACATAATAATAAAGTGTTGGGCTTTGGAGAAGAGGAGGAAGAGGGTGGTAAGCGGGGCCAGGCGGACTACCAAGAGGGGAAATAGACAACAAATCCAAGAGATGGTCAAAGCAGGAAGTTGTGGTGAATCCTGGGACAGGGCAGGTGGACTGGGAAACGGGTTCCTGCAATCCCATGGAAATAGCAAGGAGGGGCCCAGGGAGAAACTCCCTCCTGCATATGGGATGCACACTTGCAATACTTCACTGGGCTATCCTGATCCCTGGAGCTTCGTGGGCTTGGGTCTATTCCACTTACTTAGAAGGCAAGCTGATGATCTCCTATCTCCTCCCTTTTCCCTGTGGCCTCCTACCCCCACTTTTTAAAAGAGGAATTATCTAAGTATGTCAAATGTCTTAGACTATGATTCTGCTGAAGGAAAAGTTTCTAAATAAGCTCACAACTTCCTCTGAAACCCAAGAGAAGCAGCATTGCCTCCCCTTGTCTACCCACTGCACCACCACTACCCTGATTAGAGAAATGAAGGTCGAGGATGATCCAGCCCCAGTCAAGTTAGAAGTGGTCTTCTCTACTCAGGTTTATAACTCCTTCTACTTTAACCAAGTCCTAAACATTAACTCTTCCTGATCTTAGACCCTGCCTCCTCCATCACTCATCCCCTCCTGAACTCCACAACACAACCCCGTGTGGCATTTATATGCTGACCATAAACACAGACAAGAAGAACAGGTTCCTGATCAGATGTGACAGCTCTTCAAACGCAATGCTACAAAAATCTCCTCTCGGCAAAGAAAAGTACACATCTTAACTGTTCACCCTCTGAATTCACTTTACAGACCTCTCTCTTCCTAAGTTTTCCTGTAACCAAGATTCACCATTTCCTATGATAGATCCTAACAGATCCAGCCTCTTAGAGCCAAAGTCCCTTTGCTTGGCAGGTACACACCCCCCAAGGTCCAGCCTCTTCTCAGCCAAGGGAGGCAGGGCCCCAGGGCATGACAAAGGCACTCTGTTTCCTTAGCCCTGACAATGCAGTCCCATGACCTCGGCCCCCTGACACACTGCCTCTTAGAACTCAGCCTCCTCAAACCCACATCCGGCTCCTACCGGCCACTCGCAAGACAACAACCCTGAGCCACAATCCACCAAACCTACAGAGGCCAGTCACACAGGAGAGACCTTCCAAGGCCCAGGAAAGAGCTGGAGAGCTGGGGGAAGGGGCCTGCAACATGAAGAAACTTTGTTGAAGGCACCTGCTTTCTCTCTAAATAAATAAAGTAAAACTTAAAAGAAAAAAGAAAACAAAAGGGAACCTTTTGCCTGAGTCTGTGCTGGGGAGCTATTTAAGGGCTACACACGTCTCAGGCACAGTCACTCCAGGCTGTGCATTGTGTTTTCTCCTTAGGTATTGAGACCAAAACCATCCCTTATTTCTCTAGAGTTAGCAATTATTTATTTGGCTTCCCCTCATCGCTGTGTCTTAATTCATGACTTTTCCATTTCTACATCTCCTCCAAACAAGCCCTTTGGGAGTCAGGGAAAGAACGCACACGGTCCCTGCACTCTTTCTATCATAATCTTCTGAACGCCCCATTCCTGGAGTTGATGCAGCTCATCCAGGCCATCAGCCCACCAAGCTCTGCTAGCTTAGCTTAAACTAAACTTCTCTTCTACCCCTGGTGCCTTAATGCCCTTTCCCATTTTTCCCCAAATTCTTAATTCCCAAGTATCTTGACTCAGAGGTTATGAAAGAAAAAACTCCATGACCTAGAAGCAGAAAAGTACCTGAGTCCTGAACCTGGATTTGAATTCATCTCTCCTTTTACCCCAAGATGGTTTGTCCAACTCACATGACAGAACAGATCTCAGGGAGGACACTTAGGGAAAAAGCCCTATATGCAACCAGCTTGCTGGGAGGAAAAGCTTCACCCTGACCCTGTTCCCTTATCCCACTGATTCCTGCTTTCCAAGGGCCACTACTTTCCTCCTCTAAGTTCCCAAACCAATCACAATTCATAACCTTTCAGGAAGAAATGAAATAAGTGCTTGTATTCTCCAGTGGAATAATATACAAGATCACACTTACCTTTTGCCAAGATTTGAACAGTTGTTAAGAGGTTTTCCCTCCCTCCCACCCCACACCAACAGTGAAACACCATCTGGGAGAAATCATCATCACAAATACTTAAAGCACCAATTCATAAGAAAGCAGAAGGAAGAACGCACACACATTTACATGCCCTACCTGTGACTTGGCAAGTGCTTTAGGAGGTGGGGTTATTTAAAAAAAAAAAAAAAGGCATACCTAAGGGCCCCCAAAACACGCTTGCTGGTTCATCTTATTCCTTCCCCAAGAGTACTCTGACTCTGCATAGGCATCAGCGAGAAAGGAAAAGAACAAAGTGAAAATATGATGGCCCTCCTCAGGTAACATAGATGACATGCAAATGCTCACTGCTCCTTCCACAGTAAGGCTGGCAGAGGAATCATCTGAAGCGCAGTACAGTTCCACATGTCTCAGGGCCTTGCACTGAATAAAAGGACACCCTACCCAGAGCTGGAATGTTGGCCTTTTATCTGCCAGCCCTTAAGTACCTGGGGGAACTGAGCTTCCCAGGCCTTGCCTGTGTCTTGTGAATATTACATACCTCAGGAGGTTAAAGCTCAGATCAAGCCTCTTTGCAAAATGTCCACAGTCCCTGCCAAGGTGCTCTGGAATTTCTCTGCAGTCCTGGCCTATGTAGGACACCTGGAAATGAAATGGAACAGAAACAATGTGGCCAACGAGAATCACCCAGCTGTTCACCACCCTGAGTCATTGATCCAATGATTGCTTCCGCAGCTTTAAATGCACGCTTCTCACACACAAAAAGGCCACATTTGTGACTGTTTTCCTGATCAAATTAGCTTTGGGAGCTTCAGGGACTCTGCCAACAGCTCCTCTTTCCTGGTATAGTTAGCTTGATAGAGACTAATCCTGGCACAATAGAAATTGGACTAAAATTGGCCGGATTCAGGTGTTCAAAAGAAACCCCATCGTCAGAGCACGTGGATATAATTGCCACCATCAGCCTCTTGCTCAGGGAGTCTTTCCAACAGCTGCCCCTCTGCCTCCCCTTCTCCCTCCCCTCCACTGTCCTGCCCCCACCTCAGAGCCTGTTCTGCACTTTACCTCATAAAGATATAGCAGATGCATTTACTAGCATTTAGCCTTCAGGGTGCTGAACAAATGGAGTTGGACAAGAAAACCGCCCAGACCTTCCATCCTGTCCCCGTACCACTGTGGATAAAGTGCTGTCCACACTTGAAACAAAGCTGATTTGAAGGACACAGGGCAACAGCATGTGGCCAGCACATCCAAGTCTCTCTCCTCTGTGGAGCCTTCGGCAGTCGATCAAACTCTGCTTACACAACTGATTCCTTAGGCATTCTCTAATTTATTTATATTATTTATTGTTAAGTAGTGTGTACTAAGTACTAAAGGGCCAAACTGAAATATGATCCTAGAACTTCAGACTGTGAGAAGGTCAGTGGGCTTTCTCATGACCCTGACCATCCAGTTTGGTGAACCCATTTCAACAGATAGCACCACAGATTGGAGACTAATTCCAAAACTCATAAAACAAACCCTGGGTCTGAATTGGCCAGATCCCAATACATGAGACTTCCTTAAAGTACACCATGCTCAACCCTCGGGTAGAATTTCACATCCAGCCTTCATTTAGCTCCCCCACAAATTTGTATTCTTCACTTATAGACAAAGTTGTCTTGGAATGAGGGAGCCATTTTCCAGCTATTATGTTCCCAAGTTGAACCTTGTAAATTACCAATATGCAACCATTTTAGAACTACAAAGCAGCAGTTTCAAATGGTTTGCCTAACACAAGTCACACTGAACCCTAGCGCCCTCAATTTTTCAACTCATCTCTCAACCCTTTCCTATCCAATGGCAACAAATTACTGACCCCATAAGATCCTGTACTCATTCTTTCCAGTTATCTTACTTCAGTAACCTCATTTCAGGAAGAGAGAAAGTAGGGAGAAGTGCTGTCCACACTTGAAACAAAGCTGATTTGAAGGACACAGGGCAACAGCATGTGGCCAGCACATCCAAGTCTCTCTCCTCTGTGGAGCCTTCGGCAGTCGATCAAACTCTGCTTACACAACTGATTCCTTAGGCATTCTCTAATTTATTTATATTATTTATTGTTAAGTAGTGTGTACTAAGTACTAAAGGGCCAAACTGAAATATGATCCTAGAACTTCAGACTGTGAGAAGGTCAGTGGGCTTTCTCATGACCCTGACCATCCAGTTTGGTGAACCCATTTCAACAGATAGCACCACAGATTGGAGACTAATTCCAAAACTCATAAAACAAACCCTGGGTCTGAATTGGCCAGATCCCAATACATGAGACTTCCTTAAAGTACACCATGCTCAACCCTCGGGTAGAATTTCACATCCAGCCTTCATTTAGCTCCCCCACAAATTTGTATTCTTCACTTATAGACAAAGTTGTCTTGGAATGAGGGAGCCATTTTCCAGCTATTATGTTCCCAAGTTGAACCTTGTAAATTACCAATATGCAACCATTTTAGAACTACAAAGCAGCAGTTTCAAATGGTTTGCCTAACACAAGTCACACTGAACCCTAGCGCCCTCAATTTTTCAACTCATCTCTCAACCCTTTCCTATCCAATGGCAACAAATTACTGACCCCATAAGATCCTGTACTCATTCTTTCCAGTTATCTTACTTCAGTAACCTCATTTCAGGAGGAGAGAAAGTAGGGAATAATAATAATAATAATAATAATAATAATAATAATCAGTGACTCCAATAAAAGTAATTTTGATGAGCTAGCAGGTGTTATGTTGGTTAAGGTGTTGGACTCGCACATAGCTGATGATGGTTTGAGTCCTGGACCTGCTTGAGTCCTTGCCACATGCTTTCTTGCTTTCTCACTTTCCCTCTCTCACTCTCTGGTGAACACATGTGCCCTGTAGCAAATTTAAAAATTATAATAATGATAAATAGAATTCAATAATTCTTTTAAAAAGTAATACTAATTTAGACTCTGAAAAATGCAGGCTAAAAAATAAAGGGCTCAGGACCAGCAGGTGGCATGGAGGTTCAAGGTGCTAACTCCCACATGGCTTACTACAGTTCTGGTGGCTTGCTTTATCACTTTCCTTCTCTCTCTCTCTCTCTCTCTGTCTCTGTCTCTGTCTCTGTCTCTCACTCTATCCCCCTCTGATCAAATTTAAATAAAGTTAAAATAAAATAGCTCTTTGAAAAATAAAAAATTTTAAAAAGGGCTCTAAATTCAATCTAGCAATCTCTCCCCTTTCAATTTAAGACCCATCTTTCTTCACAGTTTCTGGTCTAATAAATTGTTTCCAAGCAGAAATAGAAATCATACACCAACCAAGGAGCAACTGGGATATAAAGCCCTAATCAGAGGAATTTGGTTTCCCTCAGGATATCTACTCCATCACAGCTTTCTGTGTATTATAAGTTCACATTGATCCCCAGGCCCATGGTGCTCACTAGAAAACCCACCCTGTTCACCCTGCCCTTTACCACCATCTTGTCCTGTAATTATTCGAGACCTCTATGATATCTGTAGCAGAGAAGATGAGCTTCATATGTAGAAACCAAGCTCTTTCCTCATACACTGGACTAAATCTAGTAGGGTCCTAGTGTGTTAAAAACCTTCAAGTTTTATATATAATAAACAAATAAAATGAAAGTCCAGAGGCCTGCCCAGCATAATGTCTTAGTGAGAGCCTGGACCAAGTCCTACACCATAGAAAGGACTTCCAATTTGGGGGCCAAACAGTGCTTACAAATCCACATGTGGGTGTGGGTTTTCCTGATCAGTTAAGGCCAATCGCACATCTATCATCAGATTTTGCCTTTCTAATAAGTCTTCCTAGCTGAATGAGCAAGAACTACCCCCCATGACACCACACTAAAGGTCCAAGAAAAGTTAGAACCTGGAGAAAGAAAAATATTTGTTCTTTTTCTTTCTCTTCAGAAGATAGAATAGCATTTGGATACTCACAACATGTCTGAGGAGACTTTCATCAACTTGGTTAGGTGCCTGGTCTTAACCATACAACATCCAGGAAAACAGACCAACACACAACTTGTTCCCATCCCACAAAGATAAAGACCAACCTTCAAAATTCAGCATGAGAAGGGAACCAGCAGTTAGCGTAATGGCTATGTCGCTGGATTCCCATGTAGTCGACCGCGGTTCGTGTCCCGGACCCGGTGGCTTAAAAAAACTCACGCCGGGCGCGTGTGCATGCGTGCCCAGGATCCCGAGAGGAGAATGGAGGAGAAGGGATTGCGGCGTGACCATCCCCCCTGGGGGGTGATTTCTCGCTTTCTGTCTCTATGCCTCTCTCTGTCTGTCTGGCAAGCGCACGCGCCCTACAGTGAAAATCTCTCAAAAAAAAAAAAATTCAGCATGAGAAACAACTTGATAAGCACAGGCACACTTAGACCTTCACTGTGGAAAAGGGAAATGTTTTGGTTCTGTGAAGAGTGCAGCCCAGGCTAAAGGGCTCGAATTGACTGGAAAAAGCCTCCAAGAAGCCAACAGCCATCACCAGCACTATAACCAACAATCATATCTAGAAGAAAAACTCATTTAAAAAGTGCTTCTGAGTGGAAGACATTTCCTCTTGGTACATCAGGAAGCTTCCTAAAGCTAAGGACAACCTTGGGACCAGCAGATGGCATAATGGCTATGTCACTGGACTCCCATGTAGTCAACCGCAGTTTGAGTCCTGGACCCAGTGGCTTAAACTCACACCAGGCATGAGTGTGTGCATGCCCAAGATCCCATGAGGAGAATGGAGGAGAAGGGATTGTGGCATGGCCATCCCCACTGGGGGATGATTTCTCACTTTCTGTCTCTCTCTTTCTGGTGAGCACACATGCCCTATAACAAAAACCTCTCACTCAATAAATAAATAAAGCTAAGGACAATCTAATGTAAGACACAAAGTCAGAAGTGTCAAACTAAAACTTTGCTTCTTCAACAAACCAGAGATGTAGAGATTAATATTTTTTAAATTTTATTTATCATTATTTTATATTTTATTTTCTTTGAAGTTGACCAGAGAGAGACAATGAGAGAGAAGGAAAATGAGAAAGCAAGCTGCCAGGTCTGGGACTTGCTAGATCTGAAAATGAGGAAACTAGGGACTAGTGGGGGCAGGAAACTCTCCTCCTCAGGCAGATGCTTGGAGAGAGGACAGAGAGCCTCTTCAGCTGCTACCTCTAGGCAGTCATGTTAACTCCCAGGAGCTTCTTTTCCCTACGTGCTGCATAAGGCCCATCATTTCCAACCTCTCCACCAACTACTACCTTTCTGACCTGCTACTTTTGAACTCTAGGCCTTCCTCAACTATCTCCTCAAAGCCTGTGAGTCTAGGACAGAACCAGCATTCCTGGGCAACAAACTCAGTTAAATAGGAGGTATGGAGAGACAATGGAGGCCAAGCTTGTGCCCTAATGGTTAGGGGAGCTGGAACCCACATGGCCGACCATGCACTTAAAATCTTGGCCTTGGTGACTTGAAAAACACAGTGTATGTGTGTGCTTGTGTGCCCAGAATCCCAGCTGGATGGAGAAATGGAGAAGGGATTTCAGCCTGACCACACTCTACTAGGGAATGCTTTCTCCCTCATTCTCTTTCTGGCAAGTACATGTACCCTCTGGCAATCAAAGAGAAAGAGAGAGAGAATGTGTTGGCTGATTTACAATGCCCTGCATGGTTCCTGGTGCATAGTAAATATGTGTAATTACAGAAGCACCAAGACTTCAGCAAAAAGAAAGAAGAAAAAAAAGAAAAAAAACAGGCCGTGGCCGGTTTGATAGGATGCACATTGGCCTTGGCCTTCACTGCATCTAGAGCAGTTGTAAACCCCTAGAACTCTAAGGGGGAATCCATTCCCTTCAGCCCAAAGGAATCTTAAAATCCGATTGTGCCTGACACTACCTGCCTTAGGCAACCCAAGGGGAGAGTTTCAAAAACTCAGCACACGTCTCCAAGATGTACAAGGTGTAGGAGGACTGGTTTAATCAGAGCAGAGAAGAGGTTAAAAATAGAGAGCTGGCTTTTCCAGAAGCAAGATACCTGGTCCCAGCCTGGCTGAGTTCATCCCTCCAGCAATGACTAAAAACACCTGAGGCTTCACTACAGGGCTGAAAGCATGTAAGGCTGGGTTTCTATGACCCAGGGTTGAAATTGGAGCGTAGTCATTCCCCACAGACACCTGTTCCAAAAATCAGGTGTTGAAATAAAATGAGGACGGAGGCCCAGGGCGTGGCCTTCTACTAATCAGAGACCATGGTCTGGCAGAAACCAGTCAGCACCCCACCCCCATTCCCTAGAAAAGCACCATGACTTTCATTGTGACTGGTGTCCTTGGGTACTTTTGCCTTTCTGGGTCCAATTGCATTGACATAAAAATGAATACACTGTTATAAATTAACACGAGTTTTTTGTTTTGTTTTGAACAAAAGTTATTTTTAAATTCTTATTAAAAAGAAAGAGAAACGAAAATACTTCCTGCTGGTCCCAAAAAGTACTGTGGCCACAGGCACTAGGGCCATGTGCGCCATGGAGAAGTCCCCGCTGGGCCTGCTCAGTGAAGCAATGGGGACTGAGGGAGGTAGAGGGGGCAAAGGACCTGAAAGTCCTTCTTCCCACACAGCAGGGGGGTGTGCCAGGCCCGAACCGGGGGATTTGTCCTCACCAAACTAGGGCACCCCTGACCCCACTAGGAGACGCGGCCCTCAGAGGTGTTTGGGCCTCGGAATGGCCCTGGCCCCGGCGGTCCCTCCCCTCACGCACTCTGTCCCAGGCGGGGCGGGGCAAGCTCGGACGGACTTACATGAGTTCCACTGACCACCAGCCCGGCCATGGCAGCCCGGACCTGGCGGGCGCGCAGCGCGGTGGGACGGGGAGCGCGGCTGGCGGGGAGCGCAGTTCCGCACTGGGCAGTCAGCTGACCCGGCGGAAGCCCGCGGCGCGGGCCGGGCGCTCGGACCACCGCTCAGCTGCGCGCGGCCCGGCCCGGCCCCGCCAGGCCCGACCTTCGTGCAGCTGAGCCTCCGCCAGGCCTGCACGCGCTGCAACAGGTGTGCCGCAGCGCTGAGCACCCCCCGCTGGGACCGCTGCCCTGGCTCCTGGGCTTCCCCAGTACCACCACCACCCGCAAGGCGTCCCAGGGCCCCTTCACCCCAAGAGCGGCCCTCTAAAACCGGATCCTCAAAACTTTATTGCGTTAATTGGGCCAGGCGTGAGGTGGAGAGACGGTTGGGGAGACTGCTATCAGGAATCTTTAGGTTCCATCGGAGTCGTTAGCTGGGGGTTTAGAGAGCCAGGCTTTTCCTAAATTTCACAATCCTGTTACATAACTGCCCTCAACTGCAGGGAGGAGGGGCCTCTTGGGGAACTCCCCTCTCCAGCTTTCCCCTCTCTAGCTTTGGTCAGGTGGGGATAAGTCAGAAGTGTGGAAGGATTGCTGGGGGAAGTGGGAGGTGGTGCTCGCTCAGTTATACCATCCTCACCCTCACTTTGTAGCCTCCAACAGCCAGGAGTTTAAAATAATAAACCCCAAAGAAGAAGTGAATAATGTCACCAAAGTTCAGGCTTATCCAATGTTCCTTTC